TGCAGTCAATGAGGCGAAGAAGAATCCTAGAGTGTCAGCTAAAGACTTACAAAAGTCACTGGCAAATGCTAACATCCCTGTTAGCGAATCTACAATACGTAAAACACTAAACAAGAATGGATTTCATGGGAGGATACCACAGAGGAAGTCACTGCTGTCCAAACAAAACATTGCTGCACGTTTACAGTTTGCACAATAGCACCTGGATGTTCCACAGCAGTACTGGCAAAATATTCTGTGGACAGATGAAACCAAAGTTGAGTTGTTTGGAAGAAACACACAACACTATGTGTGGCGAAAAAGGCACAGCACACCAACATCAAAACCTCATCCCAACTGTGAAGTATGGTGGTGGGGGCATCATGGTTTGGGGCTGCTTTGCTGCGTCAGGGCCTGGAAGGATTGCTATCATCGAAGGAAAAATGAATTCCCAAGTTTATCAAGACATTTTGCAGGAGAACTTAAGGCCATCTGTCTACCAGCTGAAGCTCAACAGAAGATGGGTGTTGCAACAGGACAATGACCCAAAGCATAGAAGTAAATCAACAACAGAATGGCTTAAACAGAAGAAAATACGCCTTCTGAAGTGGCCCAGTCAGAGTCCTGACCTCAACCCGATTGAGATGCTGTGGCATGACCTCAAAGCGATTCACACCAGACATCCCAAGAATATTGCTGAACTGAAACAGTTCTGTAAAGAGGAATGGTCAAGAATTACTCCTGACCGTTGTGCACGTCTGATCTGCAACTACAGGAAACGTTTGGTTGAAGTTATTGCTGCCAAAGGAGGTTCAACCAGTTATTAAATCCAAGGATTCACATACTTTTTCCACCTGCACTGTGAATGTTTACATGGTATGTTCAATAAAAACATGGCAACATTTCATTCTTTGTGTTATTAGTTTAAGCAGACTGTGATTGTCTATTGTTGTGACTTAGATGATGATCAGATCACATTTTATGACCAATTTGTGCAGAAATCCATATCATTCCAAAGGGTTCACATACTTTTTCTTGCAACTGTATCTGTCATAAAACCCACTGGGATTATTGATCCGGTTTTCGAAAAACCTAGGGTTTATTCTTCAATGAGCTGTTTAGTGACAGTCCTTTATAAATGTGAATATAACATTTTCTACTTTTGCCGTTACACTTCATATTCTTAAACCAAATTTCCCACAGTTTTCATTATTGATTATTATTGATTATTCGTTATTGAGAGCTGTGTGGGTAGAAAACATTACGCTGGGCAACGACAGAAGATCCTCTACTGCAGACTGCAGCAATAGGCTCATTAATCATTTCAACTGGATGAACAAATATTGTAAAAGTGATGTCCATTCTTCAAGATCTGCTAAATAAACGGCATGTAACAATGTACAGGGAGGTGATGTGATGGGGTATGTGTGAGATTTACATCCTTCATTAAACCCAAGTGGTGTCACTTTACATAAAGATTTAAACCAATATTGACAAGAGATTACTATTCTTTTTACCTAAGCAAGCTATAGTAGTAAATACAGCTGAAACGGTATTCAGTGTGAAGGCAGCCATTTTGAAAACATGGTAACAATATGGCCTCACTGAGAATACCATGTTGGCAGCCAATCAGAATCTTTGATTTGCTAAATTGCTCCCAGCTTTCCATTGTGCAGGAATTAGAGGGAAAAAATATGTGAACCCTTAAACGGTGCTCACTATGCCAACGTTTATATAAAATGTGAAGCTGATCAATATGTATCATTTATTTTTTTTAAGTGCAGTATAATGGTGCATAGACTATTTCTTCTGATATCACCTTTTAAATGTTACTTTTTTTTTATTAGTTTCACAAACTGCACATATCATCGGATGGTACATGACAAACTGAAAGTATATCTCTATATTGACGTTACCAGTGAGGGCCACCCATTTATTCCAGGTGGGCCTCTACAACTTGACTAACAAGATACGTATTCAGCCAAAATATGTAGCAAAGCCTACTTTTTTTATATATCACACCAGCTGTATAGAAGGAACTTATGTTCTAATGACATTCTGAATGAAAACAACCTATGTTTATAAAGCCAAAACTAGATAGGATCACATTCATCTTTCATTTACACTAACTAAAGAGGCCACAGAGCTACTGCAATGGGACAGTGTAGATTTACTATTTATGAGCTGACGGAGACAAAGGAAGGCCTGCACTTTGTATAGTCTTTAAATTTATGTGTTGGCAGCAGTGCTTGATTGGAGACACGTTCTGGGGCTCAAAAGAGCGCTTACATTTTGTAAATAAAGTCTACTCTGGCTACAGAGCGAGTACAGTTTGGATCATGTAAAGGCCATTTCTGATTTGTGTGCAACAAAGTGCTCCTTAACTGTACTGTGTGGATGAGTTTGTGAGGTCAAACAAAAAGTATTTTGGCCAAAACATTAAGCGTCCTCTGAAAATTAAAATGTTACATGTGTCTTTGGTAGCGGAGAGTTTATCTAGACAACAGTATATAAGGACATATTAAGAGGCACGATCCTTCCTCGGTGGTCTGTGACCCTGGAGTGTGCTTTTTCTGGCAAAGCCATTGATTTTGCAAATTTTAATAATCATAAATTCATATAAAAGACTGTCATGTTGTTTAAATATTTGCATTGCATTGGCTAATTCATCAAGCTTTTATTCTCTTCCAGAACTACAGGGAAGGGAGAGAGACGTCTGTAGCGCACTGTTTGTTAACAAGCTTCTCTGTCTTTTCATCGACAGAACATTTTAAACAATTATTTACAGGCCTGGATCAGAATCAGACGTCATTTGGTGATTTCATTTTGGAAATCAAGCCGTAATATACTGGAAAAACATGTTCTTCCTTACACGTTGTGCCGCAAAATATTTTAGGAATGTATACACATGAGATTTGCAATGTTCCTATACCCATTACCAGTAGATATACATGGCAGTTTTCTTTGACCTGATGCATTTTGGGTGTCATAGTGCAGGGCAAAATTCCTACCCAACTTCTTTAAGGTTAAGGTTTAAACAGACATGTTTTTTCGTAGAGATGAAATACAGGATGAGACGTAGCTGTGTTATTGTAGAAACATTTAAATCTGCTAAGATCACTGTGACCTCATATTTCACATGCATTGTTTAAAGTGATAATCTCTCATTAAATTCTCTATGCACCATTACAGTACTTTAAACGCTGTACAAAACTTGTGATGATCATTTTGAAATCTCTTAATTTGTTTATTATTAAAAAAATATAATAAATATTTTATATTTCTGGCTAGCCATAACTATGGTGCACACACAGCATCATTAGTGTTTAAACTACCTTCTTCCGCTTACCTGTACAGGTGAGGGTTACTCAACAAATAATAGATTCTGTGTTGGATTATAACATCACAGACTTGTTTATTCTTCTTTTTATTTTTTAGGCCGTAATCAGCACTGAAGGTTGAAAGTAATTTGAAATTAGTATTATGTATATATAATATTTTTATCTGTTGAGAATATTGTTTTAAGTTGATTAATGAAAATAAAGATTATTTAGCTTTACGTGTCTGCTTCCCTGAATGCCACTATTTACGCGATTCTTTACTTCTAAAGCCCTGTAACTGTCTAGACTAGCTAAATTGTATTTTCCTAGTCTTCTCAAGCACTTTCTATTACAGAACAAGCCGAGTGGAGGGGGTATAATTGTTATTATAGGCCCCCAACGCTGCCAATGGATGGGTGCTGGGTGGTGGACAATAGGTCCACCTCCCACTTTACTACATAGGGCCCCCACCCGCCATGAATGGGTAGGCGGGTGGATTATAGATCTAATTCCCTCTACAGCAAGTAATATCCTGTTTACATTGTATTATTTACAGAGTTTTGTGTCATCTGCAAACACTATAAAAATATACAGTAATGGTGTAATATATAAAGAAAAGAAAAGAAAGGGTAGTTCCACACAGTCACCAGCGACTAATATTGAGTGGGAGCTCACAAATTGTAAAAGTGTGGACACTTACCCAATCAAAAAATAAAAATAATTATAATCATAGATAGATAAACCACTGTTTAATCATCAGACACAGTTAAAAAATATATAATTATCAAAATACAAAAGGTGATCTGGACCTATTATGTAACCAATTAAAAACAATATCGCTATCCTGAAACAAATGTAACCACACAGCTCTCTAATAAGTGAGGAAATTGAGTGGTAACAACACCCAGACTCAATGCAAATGATATAATAACAAAGTGTCTGAGTGTTGCCCCACCCCAAACCCTAACACAAGTATAATTGTGAATATACACTGATGTAAAAAATATATAGACACAGTACCTGTCCTCGGTGTGGGCCCCCACCGAGGTAAAAAAAGGGAGAGCAGAGAGTCTAAAAATGTAGTAAGGAGAAATGCGGCACACTAGATGTCCATGGAGGTCGTAAGCTGATGCACCGCGGTCGGGATCTTCGAAAAAGACCGCGGTGAAGATCAAAAATGTAACCCGACACCGTTAGGTATAGCTTCAGAGGTAAGATCCAGCAAACAGAGCCAAACGAAGGAAAGACCGCCAAAGTTGATAGGTACTTCCTGCTTTCACTCCAAAACAGCAATCAAATAACAGCAGGTCCAGAACTCAACCTGTCTACGCGTTTCGTCCCTCCCACGGGACTTTATCAAGACTAAAGATAATATGTGAGCAACCCGGTATAAATACCCCACACACGGCAGGAAAAAAAAAAAAACCCGGGCTGGATTCACAATAATACAAAATATCATATAAAAAAGGGAATAACATAAAAAAATTATATATAAAAATAACATAATATAACATATATATAACATCTTAATATAAAAGGTCAGGCAACCAACATATACAATAATATGAGTATACATTGAAAAATAGAAAAAAAACATGTTATTATTTCAAATTATATTAATAACATATCATAAAGAGAACCATAAGTCTCATAAAATTGACAAAAAGGACATACCACCCACAAAGGGTGAATCCATAGCGATCAGAACAACTCCAACTCCTCATTGAGACCATTAGAAGTCATAGAGTTGAGCTTAAAAATCCACATGGACTCAGCCTTAGTGAGCTCCCTTCTCCGTTTAGCTTCATCCTGATGGGGGGGAATATGTACTATTCCCACTAACTTGATACCAACAGGATTACTCTCATGAAAGATAGAAAAATGTCGGGCCACCGAGGATTTACCATCATTACGTATAATAGCTGTTCTGTGTTCCCGAAATCTACATTTCAAAGATCTAATGGTTTGGCAAACATAATGCCGTTCACAAGGGCAAATAAGGAGGTATACCACAAAAGAAGTGTTACAAGAGATCAAAGATTGTATAGAAAAGATCTCCGTACTATCAAATGGACTGAAGGTAGAGATATGAGGGCAAATAAAACCACAAGTAAGACACTTGGTATGACCACAACGTTTATTGGCCAAAATACTGACAGCAGTTGTCTGATGAAGTATAGTTTGACTACGTAATTTCGAAGGGACTAGAATATTCTTCAAATTTGGTGCCCTTCTAAAAGTGACCCTTGGGGTCCCAGACACGCAGAAAGACAACCACGGATCTTTAATCAATATAGGCCAATGTTTGTTGAGTATTTCAATAATATCATCATAGCCCTTATTGAAGGTGGTAGAGAATATAGGTGTTATCCCTGTACCAACCTCTTTGGTGCTGATGTTAAATTTTGCTCTTTTAGCTTTATTTGAAAAAGTACTAGAATTCAAAAGTTCAAGGATCTTAAAATGTTCTTTTATATGATCTTGTTCTGGACATAGGAATGGTAGAGGAGGATTTACCCCAGACACCATCCCATTCTGAACACCAGAACATGATACCATACCATAATTATGGCCCTTTAAATAGGCTTGTAAAATATTGTTCAATGGATAAGATTTCTCTACAAAACATCGGGACAAAACCAGTGACTCTCTCTCGTAATCACTCACATAGGAGCAGTTACGCCTGATCCTGGTAAATTGTCCCAAAGGTATATTTTGAATCCATGTGGGATGGTGCCCACTCATGGCATGTAGAAAACCATTGACATCCACACTTTTTTGAAAAGTTTTGGTGACAATCAAACTTGTAGTTCCAATAAGGGTAAGATCCAAGAACTCTATGATGGATTTGTGTTTCTTATAGGTGAAAGAAAGACCCCATTGCTTGTCATTAATATGTGCCATAAAATCTTCTACTTCATCCCAACCACCCTTCCAAATAATAAGGATGTCATCAATAAACCTGCGATAAAGGGCGAGTTTCCCCATCCAAAATTGGTCTGAAAAAATCACAGATTGTTCCCAAAAGCCCAAAAATAAATTAGCATAGGACGGGGCAAAACTCGCCCCCATCGCAGTTCCTTTTGTTTGCAAGAAAAACTTTCCATTAAATTCAAAATAATTGTGCTTCAACATAAACTCGGTGAACCCAATAATAAATTCAGACTGCTTAGCAGGAAGAAGAGGATCTGAATCCAAATACCAAGCAAGAGCTTTAAGGCCCAAAGTGTGATCTATATTCGAATATAGGGCTGCCACATCAATAGTGAGCCAACAATAATGTTCCCTCCATTCAGTTTCTTTAACAATAGACAATACATGCCCTGTATCCTTCAAAAAGGACGGTAAATGTGGGACAAATCTTTGTAGATGGAAATCCACCCACTTAGAAATGGGCGCAATAAGGGAACCTAGCCCCGATATAATGGGGCGCCCTGGTGGATTATGAAGGGATTTGTGTACCTTAGGAAGGTAATAAAAAATGGGAATATCCCCTTTAGCTGAGAGAAAAAAAAATCTCTCTTTCTTATCAATAGCACCATGTTGAAATGCTAAATCTATGAGATCTTTTAATTCTCGTCTAAAACGCTTAGTGGGATCAAACCCTAAGGTCTCATAGTATTCTGTATTCCCCAATATGCGTTCAGCTTCCTGTAGGTAATCTACTTTGTCTAACAAGACAATACCCCCTCCCTTATCTGCCCCTTTGATAATAAGATTACAGTTATTTTTTAAACTGGCAATCGCTGCAATCTCAGATGGCTCCAGATTGTTACAAGCCCGATCTTTTCTCTTTTTATACTCACTACAAAGGATCTTAAAATCTCGTAGGACAAATTCATAAAACATTTGTAAATAAGGGCCTTTATCGCCCTGTGGGTAAAAAGTAGAGGGAGGTTTTAACCCCGATGGAATATTAGCTTCGACTATATAAATTGGGTCTTCCATACAGTATTGATGTTCTTGTTCCTCTAGTAAAGAGACAAGACCATGAAAAAGAATTTTATCCTGTGGAGTATTAAGAAATTTAGGACAAATATCTTTACCCTTCGCATCACTAAGATTAAAAAATCTAATGCATGTGAGTTTTCTAATAAAATGATTAAGATCTTTAAACAGATCAATTATATTGGGTAATCTATCAGGAGCATATTTAAGTCCTTTATTTAGAAGTGTAGTTTCTCCAACACTTAACTCATGGGTTGATAAATTGAACAAGCCTTTATTTAAAGGCATCTCGCTTTGGCTGGACTGTTCACCCCTTCCATTTGATCCTCCACATCGAGCCCCCAAAACACTGAAACATGACTTTCAATGCCTATTTCAAGATTATTTATAATATTTATATATTATATAACATAATTTAATATGTTAAATAGAAGCAGTCCCAAAACAGAACCCTTATGGTGCACCACTTACCATTTTTGTCCAATGTAAAATATACCATTAATAACAACTTTTGGTACTCTTTCTTTAAGTCATTGTTTTACCTATGAACAAAAATTTTCATCTAGACCAATTTCTTTTAGTTCGAACACTAAGCTATGGTGTGGGACCGTTGGCAAAATCTAAGTCGATCGCATCCAATACAACACCCTATCGAAATTTTTACTTACTTCTTAGTAGAACGCAATTAAGTTAGTTTGACATGACCTTTGTTTCATAAAACCATGCTGATTTTTTTTGCTGGTAAAAATGTTCTTTCCAATGAATTCCTGAATATTATCTATTAATAACCCTTCAAATTTTATCCCAGCCACAGAAGGTAAGCTTACTGGTCTATAATTTCCACGTAACGTTTCTGAACCGTTTTTGAATATAAGAACCACCTCTGCCCTACTCGAATCCTCCGGTACAAATCCTGAAAGAAAAGATTCCTAAAAGATTAAAAACAGAACTTCACTTATTTCCACACTTAGCTTCTTAAGTACTCACGGGTGAACACCGTCAGGCCAGAGCTTTGTTTATATTAACTTTCTTTAGTTAGTGCAATGTCTATAGTCATCCAATCACACTATTTTGCAGCAATCATCTTGCCACAGGTTTCTCCTTATTATATACTGAGGAAAAATACTATAGTTATTTAACATTGCTGCCTTTTCCTGGTCTTCATTAACTAACACCCCATCTTTGTTTTCAGTGTACCTACGCTTTGATCTGTTGTTTTTTTTGTTGTTTTTTTTTGTTTTAGAATTTATGTACTTAAAAACATTTTGGGGGTTTGTTTTGCTCTCTTTGGCTATCGCTTTCTCATTTTTTAGTTTTGCCCATCCAATCACCTTTTTGCATGCATTATTGGCTTCCTTATGTCTTATTTGTTATTTTCTTACTTCTTATAGGACAGGGTCCTTCATTCAAAGATACTCTAAAGGTCCATCAATATTGTATGTTTCAATGGTTGTGTTTTAGTGACCTGTTTTGCTGATATAAAACAGAAAAGACATTCCAAGGGCTTTTTCTTTGTATTCATTTGTTGCTAGGATACTTTTTAAAGAAATAAAATAAAAAAAAGTCACGTTTCAGCAACAACTTGTTCATCTAGCCTCAGGCTCTATCAGTGACCGTTTGTTTAGGACACTTGTCTTCCACACTCCAGGGAAACACTTGATTGCCAGGCTGCAGGAACCTGCCAAGTAAATGCCACGTAAACACATCTTTAGGGGCTATGGCTCCTTGCGATGATGTGATATGGTGCCATTCTTATTCCAACCAACTGTTTTTGTTACCCATCAAAAAGTTATATTTTCAGTGATTTATGACTCGGCAGATTAAATATATTTATTTTCTTTTAAAATCTCTTTTTTTTTAAATATTACAAAAATATTCACAGTATAGTTTAATGTACCAGAAGTATACCAGAAACAAGTTGGTTACATTCAGAAAAAAAAAACATTTTTCTTGGTGAAAATGGCATTTTAACGACAGGAAGGAAATGCTCCTATATTATCTTGCATTTAATTCTAATGCTGAAAGGGAAATTAAAATAAAATGTTTAACTAAAAATCAATGCAATTTAAAATGGATATGTTTCAGTTTTCAGTAAATTATTTTAATATTTTTTTTATTATCATAAATCCTTATATTTCAAGATTTTTAGAATGATCTTAAATTACCTGTGTTTCATGCTTAGAATATCATATATATTGATCTGACCTTCTGCATTCCCAGTGGCATCAAACATGACTTTATTTACATTACTGCTCAGGTTTCCATAGTTGCCAACTGTCCTGTTTTTGCCAGGATAGTCCCGGCAAGCTGGAGTCTGTCCCGGCAACTTGATGGGCCATGTGCTTTTATTATATTCCCTCGGAATGTAACAGCCTGTTACAGTCCGAGGGAATTCAGGACAGAGGTGCTGGGAGATGCTTCATGTGAGTGAGACTTGCTCTCAAATGGATTATTATTCTTATTCTCACCATTTATATAGTGCCAACAGATTCCGTAGCACTTTGAATGACTATGAAGACAATCAATCACAGAGCAGAAAAGCACCACCCATAACCTGCAGGAGGGTATAACTGGACCCATCTTCCAGTTAACTCTGTCCTCAAATCAGGAGAGTAGAGAGTCAAAAATAATTTTCCCCTAATTATTTTTTTAAAATGTCTTTCAGAGTCTACTGCACTGGAGAAAAATTGCAGAAGTTCTGAATTTCCGAAGTTCTGAAGTGGGTTAGGGGTAGGGTTTGGGTTTTGGTTAGAGTTTAGTGTTAGGGGCTAGGATTTAGGGGTAGGATTAGGGTTAGGATCCGAATTGCCTAAGTTCCGTATTGCTAAAGTGTCGAATTGCCATTGGTCCGAAATGCCGAAGCAGACTCATTTTTTTTCCTAATCAAATTTCCGAAGCGAACCAAATTTTTTGCCCATGCACATCCCTAGTTAAATGGCCTAGGGGTATGATATTATTGGAGCAGGAAGGTAAGCGTATTAATACATTAAGTGGCCAATGTCTTTAGAACCCAGCACATGGGTCGCAGGCAGATATATTTTTTTTTACTTGGGACCAAGCAATTGGGATCTCCTGGTCCTGTATTTAGTTTTACTCATTTCATCATATTTGAGCTAGGAAAAACCCTCACCTGAATATTTGTATTCTATATATATCTAGGGATTGGGTATTCGGTAATCCTTACCTAGCTGTACATGGAGCTTTGGGAACCGCTCACCATATATTATACTGTGGGTCTCTACCGGGTTATTATTACCCCATACTCCATGTTAAAACATGGTAAGAGGAGGGATCTGGAAGGCTACTTTGAAAGACCCTTGAGTAATGTCATAAAGCTGAATATTGCACTTAAAGCTTGGTCTCATAGGACCTTTGTCCTTAATAGTAAATACAAATGATTATTCCAGATACTGAGAAGTAGATGTCATACTGTATTTGACCTGTAGTAAAATTGAATAGTGAGTAAGGATGTGCATGGGCAAAAAATTCGGTTTGGCAATTTGGTTCGGTACTTCCGAAATTTGGCACTTCGGCAATTTGGCACTTCTGAAATTCGGGACTTCGGCAGTTTGGGACTTCAGCAATTTGGTAATTCAGCAATTCGGGACTTTGGCACTTAGGGACTTTGGAAATTCTGGCTTTTGACAATTCTCTAATCCTACCCCTAACCCTACCCCTACTAAGGTTAGGGGTAGGGGTGGGGTTAGGTTAAGGGTAGGGTTAGGGTGTTAGGGTTACATGCATTCCTGACCCTATAGAGTAAAAAAAAAAACATCTGCCACCCCCCCGCCTTTCCTCTAAATCAGGGGTCATCAACCTGGTCCCTACCGGGACATTTCAGGATTCCAGTTGGGCGGTAGTGGGTTCTACGGCACCTCTGAATGCTCTGTTCATCTCTTGCGCACTCAGTGGTTAGCAGGAAGTGTGCACAGGAATGAGTGTAACATTGGGGTAGAGGAAGGGGAGGAGTTGGAGTAGGGGGATACATGATAGCAGGGAGAGAAGTACTTTTAGAATAAGAGAAAGAAGGCGCAGAGTACTTGTAAAATAGGAGAAAGAAGGATCAGAGTATTTGTAAAAAAAGAGAAAGAAGTATCAGAGTACGTGTAAGATAGGAGAAAGAAGGAACAGACTAATTGGAAAGGAGGAGCAGAGTACTTATAGAATAGGAGAAAGAAGAAGCAGAGTACTTTTTGTAAAAAAAAAAGAGAAAGAAGGAGCAGAGTACTTGGAAAGAAGGAGCAGAGTACTTGTAAAAAAGAGAAAGGAGCAGAGTACTTGGAAAGAAGGAGCAGAGTACTTGTAAAAAGGAGAAAGAAGGAGCAGAGTACTTGTAAAATAGGAGAAAGAAGAAAAATAAAAAATATGGAAGGAGAGAATTGTTGTTGGCTAATAATAAGTGGGCTACCTAGTTCAGCCTTCCTGCTGAGCATTGCTATAAGAAAGGTAAAAGAAAAGAATAAAGGAAAAGGAGGAAAAAATAGAAAAAAGAAAAAAAGGGGAAAAGGGGGGGGGTTGAGGAGGGAGAGGAGGAAGAGGAGGGGAGCTGATGCACGGATGAGAAATCATATTATGAGCAAACAGAGAAATTGTCTAAACATCACAGAAAGAGGAGACCTTCGTTTGTTCCTTATGAAAATCGAACCAGATGTCAAATATTTAGTCTCACAGCATCAGCCTCAAGGATCTCATTAATCACTAGTTAAAGGTAATTTCAATTTACTTTATTGTTTTCTCATTAAACTTTATAAGGTTAAAAACATTATCAACATGCATAAAGTAGAAATAAAAAGATAAATTTAAGTACATTTTTAATTATTTCTTTAATCAAGAAAGATGCATTAGTGGGCGGTAGGTATAAAAAGGTTGAGTATCCCTGCTCTCAATGAATCAAGCATATCCATGAGGAAAGTATAGTGTCTCCATAAAGAGGGTGGAGACTCTGAATGTCAGTCACACTGTGCAGCACTGCCCCAGGAATCAGCTCTAGCAGCCATCTGAGGAGTGGCCAGTGCAGTTATCACTAGGCTGTAATGTAAACACTGCATTTTATCTGAAAAGACAGTGTTTACAGCATGAAGCCTGGAGGGAATGATTCTACTCACCAGAACAAATTCAATAAGCTGTTGTTGTTCTGGTGACCACAGTGTCCCTTTCACCTGCAATTTCTCAGAGAGCAGTTATTCTGTCTGAAATGAAAACTGTTTATAAAATGTAATTTGAAGCTTTGTGCCCAGATCTGTAAATACATATAATCTTAGCATCCCATGGGTGCACGTTTAGTAGTGTCTGATTACAACATTGTCTATTTTTGCTTATCCTGCAAATTACACATCGTACATTACACATCTCTATTTACTTTAATTGCACTGTAATTGTAATGACTGTCTTTCCAGATAAACTGAGTAATATTTCTAAATTAGACTTCTTGCGATATTCCATATACGTAGACCGATAATCATTTTATTCTGCATTCCTAAATTGATATGCACAGTGATGACTAATCTTAACAAAAGCACTGTCATGTTTTTTTCCCCCCCAATTTTCCTTTCCTTACGCCTCTTGTATCTTAATGATGATATTCTCCCCCTTGCCGCTTGCCATATAATTATTGTCTTTTTTTGACAGTGTGCCGGATCTCATTACCTGGGCACCTCCATTTTGTTCTCCTCAGTAAAGAAAGTTTGCCTGTTCTGTAAGATTATTTTGACTGATGGCTTGTAGGTAAATTACATTAGCAGCTGAAATTAAATGGAACTATTCGTAAGCATAGTGTCAAGGTTATATTTCCCCAACACGCTAACTATAGGACTAACAGACAACTAGCTAGACGTATTATCGGTCCTTAAAGTGGATAGACCAGGGCCGGACTGGCCCACCAGGATACCGGGAAATTTCCCGGTGGGCCGTCGGCACCTGGGGCCAGGCAGGCAGCTGGCTCACCTGCGGCCGCAGAGGGAGCTCCTTTGGCGGCCGCAGGGGAAGCTGGTTGTTCTGTCTCTGCTCCCCCTCCTAAGTGCGATACAAAGAGACCGGGGCCGGAATATGACTTCATATTCCGGCCCCGGTCTCATTAAGCGGCGCACTAGAGAGGGGGAGCAGAGACAGAACAGCCAGCTCCCCCTGCGGCCGCCAAAGGAGCTCCCTCTGCGGCCGCCAGAAGAGCCAGCTCACCCATGTGGCCGCCATCAGAGCTCCCCGTGCCAGCACCCAGGTAGCAATTATGTGTGTCAGTGTGAGTGTATGTGTGTGTGTCTCTGTCTGTCATGGTGTGTGTGTGTGTGTCTCTGTTTGTGTCATGGTGTGTGTGTGTGTGTGTGTCTCTGTCTGTGTCATGGTGTGCGTGTGTCTGTCTGTGTCATGGTGTGTGTGTGTCTGTGTCATTGTGTGTCTCTGTCTGTGTCATGGTGTGTGTTTGTCTGTCTGTGTCATGGTGTGTGTGTGTCTGTCTGTGTCATTGTGTGTGTCTGTCTGTGTCATGGTGTGTGCGCCTGTCTGTGTCATGCAATGTGCGTCTGTGTCATGGTGTGTGTGTGTCTGTCATGTAATGTGTGTCTGTCTGTGTCACAGTCTGTCTGTGTCATGTTGTGTGTTTGTCATGGTGTGTGTGTCTGTATGTCATGGTGTGTGTGTGTCTGTGTCAGGTAATGTGTGTCTGTCTGTGTCACTGTGTGTGTGTGTCTGTGTCACGGTCTCTCTGTGTCATGGTGTGTGTGTCTGTGTGTCATGGTGTGTGTGTCTGTCTGTGTCATGCGTGTGTGTCTGTGTCACGGTCTGTCTGTGTTATGGTGTGTGTGTGTGTCAAGGTGTGTGTCTTTTTTAAGGTGTGTGTCTGTCATGGTGTGTGTGTCTCTGTCTGTGTCATGGTGTGTGTGTGTCTGTCTGTGTCATGGTGTGTGTGTTTCTGTCTGTGTCATTGTGTGTCTCTGTCTGTGTCATGGTGTGTGTGTCTGTCTGTGTCATTGTGTGTTTCTGTCTGTGTCATGGTGTGTGTGTGTGTGTCTGTCATGGTGTGTGTGTCTGTCTGTCATGGTGTGTGCGCCTGTCTGTGTCATGCAATGTGTGTCTGTCTCATGGTGTGTGTGTGTGTGTCTGTCATGTAATGTGTGTGTCTGTGTCACGGTCTGTCTGTGTCATGGTGTGTGTGTGTTTGTCATGGTGTGTGTGTGTTTGTCATGGTGTGTGTGTGTGTCTGTATGTCATGGTGTGTGTGTGTCTGTCTGTGTCATGTAATGTGTGTCTGTCTGAGTCACGGTGTTTGTGTGTCTGTGTCACGGTCTCTCTGTGTCATGGTGTGTGTGTGTCTGTGTGTCTTGGTGTGTGTGTCTGTCTGTGTCGTGTGTCTGTCACGATCTGTCTGTGTTATGGTTTGTGTGTGTCAATGTGTGTTTCTTTTTTAAGGTGTGTGTCTGTCATGGTGTGTGTGTCTGTCATGGTATGTGTGTGTCTCTGTCATGGTGTGTGTGTGTGTCTGTCTGTGTCATGGTGTGTCTGTTTTTCTGTCTGTGTCACAGTGTGTGTGTTTCTGTCTGTGTCATGGTGTGTGTCTGTGTCACGGTCTGTCTGTCATGGTGTGTGTCTTTCATGGTATGTGTGCATGTATGTATGTTTTTACTCACCTTTTTTTTCTCCCCCAAGTCCTGCTGGTCTCCCCTCGACTGGCCCTGACTCTATGGCTGAGATCATCAAGCTTGACACAGGAAGCACCTCTAGTGCCGTCTGAGTGTCTGTCACTAGGAAGCAATGTAAACACTGCCTTTTCTCTAAAAAGTCAGTGTTTACATTGAAAAGCCTGCAGGGACAGGCTATAGACACCAGAGCCACTACATTAAGCTGTGTGTGTGTGCGCGCCTGCTAGTGAGTGGGCTTGCTTGTGTGTGTGTGCCTGCTACTGAGTGAGCTTGTGTTTTTATGTCAATGACCTTATGTATATCAGTGAGATTGTTTGTCCATGATGCTCTGTATCAATCAGCTTGTGTTAGTGAGATTGTCTGTGTCTGCATGTGATTATGCTTACTGTATAATAAAAAATTTTACTCTGAAAGGACCAATATTTTATATTGAAAAAAAGATATATATATATATATATATATATATATATATAAATAGCTGAATCAAAGGTTGCACTCACGGATTCTTAAAACATAGCTTTTATTGTGTACTCCTAAAAAAAAATCGACGTTTCAGTCCTATTCAAGGACTTTCATCAGGATCATTGGAGCCCTGGGAGTGCACCCGGTTTGGATATATGGAATTTGAGTGCAAGGTACAGTGCTTTTTTCTTTATATATATATATATATCTCAATCATCTAGGGTGGCAAGACATAGCATTACATACGACAATATATGGCGCAATGACTTATGGGGCTGGCATAGATTTTTTTTCCAGGGCTGCTTTGGAACCCCCAATCCGGCCCTGGGCCGGACTTAACGTAAATATAGAAAATAGGAAAAACAGAATGGTCAGACAAGCCAAGGCCAGGGTAGGAGAAGTACGGATAAACGTTAATCAAAGCCAAGGGTCAGGGAAAACCAGAAATACAGAAAATCAGAGACAAGCCGAAGTCAGATAACAGGACAAGTTAACAGAATGCACTCTTGGGCTACAATAAACCACGACAGGGCAAGGAAGTGATGTAAGAGGGAGGTATAAATAGGGTTAGGAGAGAGCTGATAGGCTAGGGAACAAAATAGGGCAGTATATAAATAGAGTACCAGTTCATAGGTAAAACATGGTTCTGTCACTTTAAGGGGCTGGAGGCATGCAGTACAACCCTAGCGTGTGTATGCGCGCGTGCCCGAGCGTGTTCCCGGTTGTGCGCGTGCACCCGGAGGCATGCGCACGTGCGTCGTCGGCCGGACGTCAGCAGAGCCAGGAGGAGCCGTGCGGACGGCGGGACCGGAGCAGCGCGGGCCGTGAGGAGGTATGACACATAGTCAGTTGCAGAAAAAAGGTCACACACCCCATGACAATAAACAATTTCTACTTTTGTATTAAAAAAAAAAAAAGGAAACAGAGAGACGAAAAAAGTTTTATTTTAAAAACAAAACCAGCTAAATCACAGTGCTGCTTTAACACTGTCAGATTCTATGGAAGCTTGGTCATGAGTTCTGCATGATATGTCATTCTACAGGCCCATGTGATCTAAATATGTCCTTGGACATACCGACTTGACATACATAAATGTCAGCAGTTGCGCATGGATGCTCCCAGGAATTGAAGCATTTGTGCAGGTGGCTGGACATCATCCAATGCCTCAAGTCAGATGATGATTTGAGCCTCACAACAACCAGAAGGAGGTCTCCACACAATCTGTCAAACATGTATTTCCTTCTGGAGGGTGATGGGTTATACAGTGTAGCTGTGTATGGGAAACGTTTCAATATTGTTAAAGGGGTTACTCCAACCCTTTTTCACTATTGCTTTGGTTTAATATATAATGCCTTATTGGACACTAGTAACCCCCTATTTCTTTTTAAAACCCTATTAAATAAATGTAAAACTTACCATGAATCCAGCATCGGGCGAAGTTCTCCTCCATTGTTTCCATAACACATCCATCACCATGCGGTCTATTTCCTCTCTCTCCAAAGTCCAATCACATGTTTTTCGTAGAGAAGTGTTTGATTCAGCTGATCTTCAGCCTCAAAGTGCAGGCGCATGATTTGTACCGGAGAGGGCTGGGAGGAATCACAGGAGGAAGCGAGAAGATATACAAGCTTCTCCTTGCATGTGCTCCCGCAGCGCAGCCTGCAAGGGTAGAAGCTCTGTCGCCATTGTATAGCGTGTTCTGACGACAGATGTAATTTTTGCATTAGGCTGCCCAGAACAGCGTTCCAGGCTGTCTAAGTCACGTGTGTCTGGGGTGCAACTAGCCCCGGCACAAAAGTAATTATATCTCTGTATGACCAGCGTTTCAAGCAGAAATGTTGCATGTACAGATTGCTTGCTCCACGCCAACTTCAAAAAGCAGAAGTTGTCATGGAGGCTAGAATAACATTTTAACCTCCACTCATAGATTCTGTAGCTCCTCTTCAAAAGCTGTTTTATGATCACTGTTCTCAAGATTCTGTATAACGCATGGAAAATGAAACTCCAAAAACTGTCCCCAACTTCAAGTGGTAAGATTATAACTTCTAAATCACTGTATATATTTTCAAATCTTTCTGTCAAGTATGGTTCTATAAATCTGTTTATCCCGTTTTAGAACATTATGACCAAACCAGTTGAGTCTCTCCTTGGAAATGTAAATGTATTTAAAGTTTGAACGGGTGAAGGAAAATCGCACTGTTTTACTGTGTTTAGGCTGATGCAGTTTGTTTGTAATTATTGGTTCATAAACTTCACCCATAAAATAAAATGTATCCAACTCTGGCCCTTGGATACTTCAACCGCTCAGAATTTGATTACAGAGTTTCAGATATTTGAGTGTTTAATGTTTTCCACTAAAAACCTTAAAGAACTCTGTGTTCTTATCCATACTGGCAAACCTACAAAGAGAACAATAACACATTAAATTGTATTCCGAGCTGTAGTATGATCTACTTTTTAAAAGGAAACTCTCCCTATATGCAAATGTGTAGGGGTGCAACGTGTTGTTGGATCATAATTATAGAAAACTTTTCACATAGGCTTAGGAGTTTAGAGAGTTTGTTTGGGAAAAAAACTTTTGTCAGTATAATGGGTGGATTGGTCAAGATGGAGTGTTCAAAGGGTGGAAGGGATGAAGAGTATTGCAAACAACAATCTGCGTGGTTAAAGACCCTTGAAATAGGTTGAGTTGCCATATCTTGGACTCCCGTGCGGCACATGCGGCTTCCAGGGGGTGCCATGTGGCAGCCACAATGTCTCCAATCCCACGCCGCTCCGACCAGAGTGAATGTAGCACGGCGTTCAGTTGCTCCTCGTGAAGAGCAATGTCTGCACATTCTCTCTCCTTGCAAGGTTGCCGGATCACTGTGGCAGCCCCGAGCCTCCTACAAGAGTCCATAAAAATTACAAGAACCTATAGGTGTAGGTCTTTTATAACATTAAAGTGACAGGTCATATTAATGGGACACATCATCTTCCCTTCACAGATCTCACCCCTTTGTGTGATTTGGTGCAGGTTGAGGATGCTGTCCAATAGAATTTTGATTGTCCCTATTTAAACGCCCCTCTTTCTGAGGATCATTGCCCTGTCGTGGTTTATTCTACCTGAGAGTGCATACTGTGTAGTTGTTGTTTTTTCCTGTTTCTGACCCGGCTTTGTATTTGACTATTCTGATTTTATGGTTCCTCACTTTAGCTTGATTATTCGTTTTTGAGTACCTCTGGCATCCTTGACTTTGGCTTTCTATTTTGACTCTGTACTTTTCGCCTATCTAGGGTACATGTTAACCTGCCACTCTAAGATTCCGGATGTGTACCTTTCTCTATTTTTCTTCATTCTGGCTTCGGTTTCCCTATACTCTGTGTGTAGAGGGTTATCCAATCTTGAGAGAAATAAAACAAAAAAACATGTTCATTGTGACATTTTAAAAGTCTTTAAGCTGTGCAAATGGTTGTAGAACAGGCAGAGTAGACAGACAGAGTAGAAAGCAAGCAGAAATTTCACCTTCAGAGGTATGCTTTGTGTGTGGTGGCCCAAGGGTGCAGTGGAGGTGAGTTATACTTGCCTGGATCTCTCTCTCTCAAGGACTCCACTATCTTTTTTCTTCAGCTCCTGGCGAGACTACAACACTGATATATATGGAGGATCCCACGAGAGCCCCCATAGATATCGTCTTGCAATGAGTGAAACTGCCTTTTTTTTTACCATAGTGACAGCTGGGTTCATTTACAAATCTTGAAGGTGGTAGTGTCTATTTTGTCTTATGATATCTTTTGACTGCGATGAAATTTCATTGAAATTCCAACTCGGTATTTTTTAACATTTCATAAAGATTTTATCTGCATGAAATTCTCACGTTTTTGTTTTTGGAGGGGTTGTCAGAGCCGCTTTAAATGATACTCTATGCACCAAAACAACTTTATCTTCGCAAAGCAGATATAGCAGACATAGAACATACATCAGCAGCGTCATTGCTCAATTATCTGCCATTGCTGTGACTCACATAGCCTCCAGAAAAAAAGGTTTCCTTTTCAATCAGAACACCTACATAGAATTGAGCAGTAAGACTGTGGGAGACTGACCTATTCATCAAAATGACTTCATTAAACTAAAGTTGTTTTGAGTGCTAAGAGTCGTCCATTAATAATATGTAGAAAGTGGAGGATCAGGAAATGAACTGGAAAATATTGTGGTCTAACGTAATGTATAAATGTGCGAGTACTCAGCTGTTGTTTTAAAAACATATGTGGTGTGTGAAACTGTTACAGGCAGTAATATCCTTAATAGTGTCAACTTTCAGGGTCAGGCCATCAATGCCGGTTACTTCTGCCAAAGCTGTCTAGTTAGTCCCAGAAATCCTGCAGCCTATGAGGCCTATGCATTCGGTGCAGGCCACCTAAGATGGACACCATCCGCCATTCTGCTAGCACTGGCTAGGGAGTATAGGAATGGAGTGACTGATATTACTCCATTAAGACGTCAGCATGCTGGCAATGAAACCAGTGTGTCCGAGTCATGGTGGATGTGTGCCCTGCTTGGGAAAGTGTCCCTAAGCAGGGCAAATCAGAAATGACTGTGGGAGGAGCGAGAGTGGATCAGAGGTGGGACAACGTGGCGCAGGAGTGAAACATAAAATGTGACGGCAGATAAGAACCATTCGGTGAAGGGTAAGGTAAGTTTATGTCAAGTTACCTTCAACAATTAATGGAAGGACAGCACTTTGACCATTCAAGGAGATTAGGCAGTTACAGTACCTAGAGTATCCCTGAAAGTTAATAAACGTGACATTGTTCCTAGGGTTCTATGGAGAGAGATGTGTCAGGATTATAGTTGATCCAGCACTCAGAAATAGTATAACACCTAGGACTAAGGATAACGTCTAACCAGACCTTAGAATGGCCGGACTTAACGTACCAGAGAATAGTCAAAATACTTGCCGAGGTCAGGGATACAGAATGAGACACAATAATGAGGGAAAGTCAAAAGTCAATGATACCAGTAATCAGTGAAGTCAAAATGAAGCCAAAGTCAAAAACCACAATAATACGATCAGGAACACACTCTCGGCTAACCAGCAAACCAGCAAAGGGAAACCACGACAGGGCAATGAGTAGACGGAATAATAAGTTTAAATAACCCTCCTGCAGATTGGCCGAACCTGACTTTTGACCCGAAAACGTGCATCTGCGTGCACGCACGTCGACGTCGTCATTACCATGGGCTTTCATGGGGCTATAATATGGCGTGGACCGGAAGGTTGCAAAAGCCAGGTATAGTGGCGTAGGGCTGCTGAGCTGCACTTCTATTATTCCTAGGAAGGTAATTACTACTGTAATCTTTATATGGAGAGGATGGATACGTGACAAGATGCAAGACAAATGTCAAAAAAAGTATTTTTATGCATTTGCTGTATTGTGATTAAGTCCTCATAACCCCGTATGTTAAACCTGGTTAACCCACTCATATTTCACACCTCAAGTGTGTATGTCTGCCGTTTGCTGTGAGCTAATGCTGACCAGTACGTAGAAAAAAAAAAAAGTTTTTCTTAAGCCAGCTGACAATCTCACATGAACTCACAGTTGCGTGGCCCCAGGTTCACAGCTTAATCAGGCTTGTTCTAATGCCACTTAAATCAGGATGTTAGAACCAAGAGAATTCCAGGAATTTTATGATATAAACGATATTTTTAGAGCTGTCAATGACTTGCTAGAGAACAGCGTTGCAGTGTCTAAAGATAGGGTACAGAATCGTTTTTTCCATATGTTATCGCATTAACCTAACCACTCTGTGGAATTACACATACAGACTTCCTAATCCTTAATAGAGTTCCCCTATTTCACATATTGTGTACGACTAATGTATCAGTTCTAATTGCCGCTATGTTAATGAGATTAGGATTGTAAATATGTTACACATTTACTGTATATTATTATGCAAAATATATCTATTTTTAAACATTAGTATTTTTCGATATTCTAGTTTGTATACTTTGCTAGTTCTTCATGGGACTCATCCAATATAATCTAATTGATTTGTGTGTGTTCCTTTTTAGATTTTATTTGAAACAGGCCTTTTGTGTACGTATTGTTTTGTTTCTTTGTAAAGATTATTTGTTTTTGTTTTTTTTACTGTGTGCAATTATTTGCTAGGGTGTTTGGTTTATGTAACCCATCATGTTTTTATGTTGTACATAAAATAATAAAAAAAATTAAAAAATATATATATATTTAAATTTTAATTCTAATATATGAAAAAAGACAATTTGCATAATATAAACAACCCTAGCTAACAATTGAAATGTGATATAACAAATTGGTTTTGGACTTACACAGTAATACAGACCTGGAAAAAGGCCCATCTCTATCAAGTTCAAACTTTCACACATCTTTGTGTTTCTGCTGTTGCTACAAAGAAGGGGGGTGCAGTCAGATTTATTTTTTAATCAAAAAGCTGTTACACTATATATTAACTATTTATTCTTTGAAAGTTCTGGGTTACCAAAACAAATGTACTAGAGAATGTGTTTTTACACAGAATATAATCACATATCCTCTTTAATATTATTATTATTATCATTTATAACGTGCTAGCTTGTTCCACAGCACTTTTCAGTATTAACAAGTGGGGAATTTAATAACAGGTGAGACAAGCTATTACATTTTTTGGGGGAAAAATAGGTTGATGAGGACCCTGCTCGAACAAGCTTCCAGTCTTTAGGCAGTCTCTTTATTTAAGTCTAAATGAACAATGAGCAAGGTACAGGTGATCTGTTTGTACCTCCCCTGTATATTTTTGTAAAATGAATTTATATATCTGAGATGCCTTTTATCTGCTGGTTAGGTTTTCTGTCTTTAAAGCTTAAATCTTCCATTCCCTTTATTAATTTTGTAGCCCTCCTCTGCATTTTTTCTACTTCCGTGATTTCCTCTTTTAATACATGTATTTAAAAAAAAGGGGGGAGGGGTGCAGACTGGTTGTAAAGGGGATGCAGAGAGAACTGAACACAGATACTGCACACAAATACACATCTACACTCACACCAACAATACATGCAAATATAATATTGCATTGATGAGAATGGGAGCAGGGGTGCATTCATTCACGCAGATACTGCACATAATACACCCCTGCATGCACACACATACAAATGTAGCTCAGCATTCACACACACACACTACATTCACACGCTCCATAGAAAAACTCACCTCCTTTTTTTCATCTATTTTCCAAGCCCCTTGTCTCATACGTCTCATATTGTAGAACGGTAAACAAATTAAATCGCAGCAACTTATATTTGGTCATTAGTTTATCAAAAGATAGACCCTGGGATGTTCTGACCTTCTTGTCCCACCCACAAAGGGTTATATAGTGTGCACAAAGTAGAATGTATAACTTAATACCATGTATACGCCAATTCATCTTCGAATACTTCATCCATATACAAAATAAATGTGTGATCCATGAATAGCTACACGTTTTCATACATCAAAAATCAGAAAAGGTAAGGAAAATAGTAAAATGGATTTTTTGCTTGAAGAGTGATATTGACTACTGCTAATGCATGTAAATATCTATGCCACATCCCTTGGTCTCGTGGGATCTTGCATAGATCACTACTTACTATTCTTCACATTTGAGTGTTTATCATTGAATTAGGCTCATTGTAGATGGATCTGCCCAGAGCAGAAGACCAGGACCATGAAGAAAATGACCCTACTCAGGAGAAGTTCAGGTAAATATATCTTACTTCTCCTTTCCCCAAAAGCCCCCATCTCTGGATACCATCATGCGAAGCTGACATGTCACAAGGGGTGGGGGTTGGGGTTTCAAAAAATGCAAGAATCCTAAACATGACAATTTAATTTTAAGACCACAAAGTTGGGG